TGGCCTTCCTTCACTGACCGGGCTATAGGTCCGCGCCTTCCTTCATGGATAGGGCACTTGAACCTACGCACTGGGTTCGTCCGCGACTGGCTTTGCAGCCCAGGCCTCTCAAGAGCACATGCTTCATGAAATGACACTGCCACAAAATCGAACAGCATACGTGCAACGTCTTACAAACTCCTTGCTCCAATCTGCAATCTATGTTTGCCAAACAATGTATACATGAGTATATATATATATATATATTCAATATTATGTAAACATCGAAAATGCAGTCTGAGCCATGAAGCACTCTTCTCTTATGCTTCCAGGTGTCTATCAATCTGTTTCGACAGCACCAACAATACAAAATTAACAAATAACATCAAATAACACACATGGTAACTTTGGTGAAAAAAACGTCACCAACTTCCTCATATAATATCATTCAGCGGTGTTTCAAAACTGTTTGGTGCCCTTTTCAGAAGGATGGGGTTCGAACGAGCCGAAACATGTCCATCATCTAATGAGCTTGGGCCAGGCCACCAAATCCTAGTATCATTGGAGACTGTGCGAAAAAAGGGAAACAACACGAAGGGTGTGTGTCAGGTATGTGTGTATGATTGTGCATGCACCATTCACATCGACTCACCTTGCTGACCAACCCTAGCTCTCTCCTCACAATCCTGGCACCCAGAGCATACATTTGATTGCATTCTCACACACAAAGGATATTGTTCTCTCGCAACTCTACGTTACCGGTTAGACTGGTGTTAGGGTGTTAGATGGGTCGCCGTTCATTTTGATTCCCGGTAGGTCGACCTTCAGTCTGCAGAGATCGACCCGCGTACCCGCGTACCTGGGAGGTTCATGCAGGTCGAGCCCACGCAGCAGCTATCACCGATGCAGGGCACCGTTTGCGGGGGATGTTCCAGGCGGTTCTCCTTGAGAAGCAATTTGGGTAAGCACATGGAAACCCCAATGGGTGTTTGATTGTATTTGACAACATGGTGAACACTCAATCATACTCTTTGCATTCTCTGTGTGTTGGCAGCTTTCAAACATAGAAAATAACGACACAAAAAACGTTACTGTACCTTACCCTCCAAGGCTCCACCGCTTGTTCGGCCTTCGAGGCCACGATCCCTGCAACCTGCCCAGCCATGGCGGTGGCCATGCTGGCGGGGTCTTGTGCAGCGCAGATCTCACTGAGCTGAGCCACCAGGAGCCACAAAAGTCTCAGCATCCTGCACGAAGGAGCAACACGTAACACGCACGCGTGTCGCGTGTCGCCGTCGACGCGCTACCTGGGTGCCCGAAGGAGCTGGTACAAGCGTCGGGGTTTAGTCACCCGGGTTTGCAGAAAGTCACCCGGCCGCATGTAAACGCAGCATTAGTCAAAAGTCAGCCGGCTTGCGAAAAGTCAACCGTTTTATGTTAAAACACCATGTAAACGCTCTACGGAAACATGTTTGTCAAAACTGCTATACATCAAGAATTCATTGCCCCTGTGCACAAAATAACTATATAGATTTATGTCGAAGTTTGCAGCATTTTGGTGACCGAAGCCCAATCAGAACGCAAGAGTAGGACTATCATGAAGATTAGCCTGCAAACATAGATGCAGCATGCTGAGACTACACGAACCTTTTCTACTTGCTCTGGATTGATTTAAACATATGAAATCAACTTTGTAAAACATTATTTTCGTCGGAAACATGGCTACACTGGTGCGAGTGCCGTGCGAGTCTTTTCGAACCTGACGCAAGTGCCGCGCGGGTCGAGCTATCCACCTACCCATGTCGATTATGTTCAAATTACTTTTTGGTCACCTTCCCTCTAACCTGCATGGAAACGAAGCATCCAAACAATGGTGTTCAACTGCTATTCCAAAGCTTATCTTCCAATCATATTTACATCTTGCACCTAAACCGCATGTAAACGCATCATCCAAACAATGTTGTTGACCTGACACTCTTCCAGTTGTATTGCCATCTGGCATCTAACCCCAGTGTAAACGCAGCATCCAAACGACTTTCTACAAGACCAAACGACTTAACAGCAGGTACTTGTAGAAATAAGATTTGAGATAGATGGGTCCTTAAACATAACTGTGGTAGTCAAATGTGGTCAAGAAAAAAACAAAAACATTTCAGAAGGCAAGCTGTTTAGGTGATCTTTGAGGCGGCGGATTTAAACATTGATTAATTTATACAAACAAATAACTTGATAACTTATTGAAAGCTCGGGATCCGATGATCCTCTGAGGAGCCCTGATGGGACGTCTGGATGGATCGGATGATCCCCTGAGGAGCTCTGATGGGACGTCTGGATGCAGCCGAGTGAAGCACCAATAAGAGGGGACTGTTGTCCACAATATGACACGATAACTGCTGAGTAAGCGCACTGACCCATCTGACTTCTCTACAACAAGTGGATATCATGAGTGGCATTTCATTTCTGGGGATGTTCATTGCCAGAGCTAGCTTTTCATTCTTCATGATGTGAGGAGATCTGATATCCATGGCACAATTATATGAGTCCGACCTTCGCGAACTTTGCCCCAGCGGTCCAAATCAGCCACATCGGCGTCCGGTTGTTCCCCCGTCCTTCCGTGCTCGGCTCCAGCCCGGGCCGGCATTCTTGAAAGAGCTGCGGAACTCATGCCTTTGATCTTTTTCTAAGGTGAATCAACTGAAAAAAAAACAATAACGTCACCAGGAGGGTCTTCCAGAAGGCTGTGGTTTCCAGCTGGTTTTCTCCGGCGTGCACCTGTTTTAGCACCTATGAATGCAGAACACGGTAGACCTACGAGTTTTCATGAGTTTTCTCAACCGAACCTGTTACACCGGCCCGCAGAAGTCAAAGCAATTTCAGAAACCACGCCAGTTCCACATGAGACACCACGCATTCAGGAAGCCAAACAAGTCAATGCAAAAACATGTAGATCACCATCAGGACGCAGCGATAAAACTATGTTTGTTTCTATCGTTCAATCTTACTTGAACGCCTCAGAAAACTGTATTCCAGCATGTGGACGCACATCCAACAATGACCAGGAAACGAAGGAATTGGTATGTTTCTTGACTGAGTTCACCATGGGACGCCGTATGATCCACTCCACCAAGTGACGGTTCCCCAAAGCACTGATACTAATCCATGTGCATGCTCCAGTGTAGCTTCGTGATGGTTGTGGTTTGATCATTGGCTGACTTGAGCATGTGTCTTGAATCCCCACACAACCACAGCAACCAACTCTGTCGAGGATTTGTGGCAGCAGCCTGATTCAGGATTCCTTGCCGCGGCCTGAAAGATCTAAATCAGGCTGCGGCAAGGAATCCTGAATCTGCTGCTGCTGCTGCTGTGGTAAAAATAGGGTTCAAGACACATGCTCAAGTAAGCAAATGGTCAAGCCACGACCATCAAATGGATTTTGCAATATTCCCTTTCCTATGCAGCTGCCTTCGATGGCTGAGCCATGTACTGCAAAGACCTGTGCTTGCCATATATATATAGGTCTGCAGCCATTGGAGAGCAGGAAACGAAGGGGTGGCTTGGACGAGGTACCGGACGAGGTGGCGGACGAGGTACCAAAGTACATCCGCCACAGCTCCGCCATGACATGTCTCCACTCTTTTGATGCAGCCAAGCAGCAGCCAAAGACAAGCAGCAGCAGCCAAGCAGCCAAGCAGCAGCAGCCAAGCAGCCAAGCAGCAGCAGCAGACAAGAAGCAGCAACAGACAAGCAGCAGCTGCAGCAGACAAGCAGCAGCAGCAGCAGCAGCAGCAGCAGCAGCAGCAGCAGCAGCAGCAGCAGCAGCAGCAGACAAGCAGCAGTAAGGCAACAAACAAGCAGCAGCAGCAACAAACAAGCAGCAGCAGCAACAGACAAGCAGCAGCAGCAACAGACAAGCAGCAGCAGCAGCAGACAGGAAGCAGCAGACAAGCAGCAGCAGACAAGCAGCAGCTGCAGCAGACAAGCAGCAGACAAGCAGCAGCAGCAGACAAGCAGCAGCAGCAGCAAAGCAGCAGCAAAGCAGCAGCAGCAGCAGCAGAAGCAGCAACAGACAAGCAGCAGCAGCAGCAGCAACAGACAAGCAGCAGCAGCAGCAACAAACAAGCAGCAGCAGCAGCAACAACCAAGCAGCAGCAGCAGCAGCAACAGACAAGCAGCAGCAGCAACAGACAAGCAGCAGCAGCTGCTGCAGCAGCAGCAGACAAGCAGCAGACAAGCAGCAAACAAGCAGCAGCCAGGCAGCAGCAGTAGCAGCAGGCTTCAATGCGCACAAACCCAGGCTGCAAAGCACACACAGGTACCACTTCCTCTACTTGAAGTAAGAACACCGACAGCGCTCGCTTTGTGACAACCAGTTTGCAACCTAGCGGCGGCTTTATTGGATTTCTGGTGTGCACTATGTGCATGGAAAAGTCATCTTCTGAGAAAAAGTCTATCGGCTAAACACCAGCAGGACGCAACTTTGCATCGACTTCCAAAAATCTTTCCCCAAGCTGGGACGCACAATTTATCCAAACGCATCGACTTTCACATCTTGGAGTAGCTCATGATTGTGGGTTGCCAGAAACTACTGTATTTCTTGACAACTGTGCAGCCCAGAATGACAGGACCTCGAAAGGGAACCTTTAGCCATCTCAGTGTGTTTGGTGGTCTTTCGCTCCTATTAAGATTGTTTCCCACGGCTGTTAGCTGGACACTCCTTGATATTGATGAGCTTTGATTACTATGTACTAAATGGTTTCTGCTGGCACTGCTGGCACCCTGGCCAAGTAAATATATATATATATATATCTTTCGGAACTTTGGCTCCTTTGCCCTTGATAGAACCTGCTTCTATCATACCCCTACGCGTGCAGCTGCACGTCCAATGAGTGTTGGTCCCATTCCGTTTCCATACTATACCAACCACACGCCGTCTTTTGCGCTTCGACCTTTTGAGACCTTGAAATCCTTGAAGGATTTTGAAGCGGTTTCGTCCCCGTCTCTAGAAAACTTGGTCTCCCCACTCTTCAAGAGCTTGGCATGTTCATCCACAGGTGTGTCTAAGGACACACCCATCACAGCCAACCGGGCCTTGCCATGATCGCAGGGAGAAGAAAACTCCCAAGAATCCGTCTTTGCACAAACTTGACTCGCTGATGGGAGGATTCACCAACGCGATTAAAACACAGCAGCACGATGGCGGTCGATCTATAGATTGAATGGACCTTTCCCACATTTGCTGGAGGTGCCGAAGGCATCTGGGCCCATGCAAAAACTTGTCGCTAGATTAGATGCTCTTGAAGGTTTCAAGTCTCTCGCGGGTCTGTGACACGCTCCCCAAGTTCCCTCGCACCTTCAGCTTGAACCGGATGAAGGACGTGGGATTCTTCACCGAGGGACCTACGGACTCTTCCAGAACTGACCGCCAGCCACTTGCATTTTGGGTCACATAACGTCACATACTAGTAGTTTCTTGCTACCAGTAGCGATGCTCTTGTTACTAGTAGCGATGCCCTTGTTACTAGTAGCTTCTTGTTACTACCAGTGGAAGATAAGCTTTGAATCAAAACTGCTGTGAGTCAATGGCCTCATGGATTTTTCACAATGAGCTTCTATCGCCGCATGCCCTTCCCAGGGTGAGGATCATCTCCTTGTTGGATGGTCTCAAACCCTTTCAAATGGGCTATCCTATCCACGTTGTGTGTGTAGATGATCCATTATTTTCACTGAAGGGTCTGGCCCGCTCACCACATGCGGATGGCTCAAGATTCTCGAGGATCCCTCGCATTTTCACCGCCTCGATCAAGGACTTCCTGCAAAAGTCCCAAGGCATCTTCCTGTGGAAGACCTTAGCAGTGCCGGGGGCTGGTCAAGCCCCACCCAAGACCCATATCAATCAGAGTCAATCAAAGTTATAAGTTAGTGACAGTATATGCCATAAATCCATAGTAAATTAGTTACATGAATAACTCCGTGCCAGGGCCACTCTCTGTGCCATCTTTGCTACAACGACACGAATGTACTTTATATATATATATATTTTTTTTTTAAATTACATGTAATTACATACAGTACATCCTTGGGTGAAAGGGTGAAATGACTCCCAAATGCAACATGTCCCGCGAAGTCAACAATCGCATTTCACCTTAACACACCAAGAATGAACAACATGCGGAGGCGATCCTAGGACCCTTGACACCTCCCCTTGCGGCCAAGCACTCACTTGCGCACCCCCAAATAACCTCACTTGCGC